ATATGAATAATAATGATACAGTGATATTTGTTATTTTAATATTTGTAATTTAGTAATAATAATAATCATTATTATTAGTCATATTGAAATTTCTGCAACCCTACAAACAAACCTGGTGTTCTTTTATTTTTTATTAAATATTACATTTTAAAATTGCAATAGCAATTTTTAACCAGAGAAATTGCTATTAGACTTTCCCCAAATCATGCAGCCCTATAATGCATATTTTAATGCATATAATTTATGAATAAACTTGAGATATATAACAGTACTGTGATATACTGTAAAAGTGACACTTTATATAGAAAGTATAGGTGTAAATTACTATTGTCATATCAGTCAACAAAACATATTTCCAAAAAATGAGTGTTGCTTTAAATGCTCTCATGAACACACCCAGTCAATATCATTTCTGCAATCATTACCATCATAAAACTGACACTGCTAATAAACGAAGTCATAATAACAGATTTCATCATGTTTATTATATGATGCATGTAAACACAACTATGTAATCTATGCGAGTGTTATTTAAGTGATCGGGACAGACATTTGCTGCGGTCTAATGCTGGAGGAGATTCTGGGAACGTCACAAAAACACAGATAATGATGGAGTGTCAGAGAGGAGAAATTCTCGTTTACATGCACACAGACCTCAGGAGAATCTGTGATTGGTGGAGCGCATGATGACATGCATTCGCCTTCTGGTCATGAGTTGCACAGATGAGAGCACACAATAAACTGACCTATTTTTAACAAAAAAACCCTATTTATATCTGCCAAAAATGGACATGGAATTCAAAATATTCAAGTGGCATAAAACATTAAAGACAGAAAGAGGATTTGATGTAAATAGGAAAATGTAAAGCACAGGGAAACCTACATTACACAATACACGTTTGATGGAATTGAGTTCACTAAAAAAATGCAATAAAAACATGTTTCAGTGTTATTTTTATTATAGTGTTTTTATTTTTTATATTATTTTTTATTTAAAAAAAAATTCTAAAAATGTTTAAAATTCTACAATTTTAAAGTTTTAGTAATTTCATCATTTTTAATAATAAATTAACTTTTAAATGTTTTTTTATGATTTTTTAAATATTTTTCAATTTTCATTAGATTTTTTTTGTTGTTATTTATTTTCTTTTATTAGATATATACTATGGTTTTAGTTTTAGTTTCAGTTTTAGTCAACTATAATAACCCTGACATGATTGGACTGTTCAAATAAAAACAATATCACAAAGAAGGAATGCATGAACTGGTAAAACACCTTGAATGCGATGCAAGTTTCTGTGGATAAAAGCACCTGCCGAATGCATAAATATAAATCTAGAAATCTAGAGCAGACAAACATGTCTCCACGAGTGTGTTCAGTTCACAGACTCCCTCAGATCACCCTGCTGCTGCTGATCAGGTCAGCTACATCTTTATTACGTCGCCTGTCGCCCGTCTAGTGTCATTCACTCAATTAAACAGACATGTGTCTGTCCTTACACTCACTGTTTCTCCAGCATGAGAGTTTCTGCATACACTGACTCTGCAACAAAGCACTAATGATTCCAGCACAACTGGAGCTGTGACATGTCAGATATACAATATGGCCTTGTTTCAGGGCTTCACCTTTAATCTAAAGGTCTGTTCTGGGTGTTGGGGTAATGTTGACGTCAGAGGCCAGTGCTTGTCTGACACAACCTAGAACTGAGAAATCTGGGCCAAACTCAGCGAATGGCTGCGTCCTCTGCTCAGGCGAAGAACATCTACCAACATATGGATGAGATAACTGTGATGAGAGACAAAATTATAAACCTCCAGCATTTCTCCTCCTCTGAACAACAGCACATTCTCAAATATAGACAGATAGACAGACAGATAGATATATAGATAGATAGATAGACAGAGTAGATGGATGGATGGAAGTATAGATGGATAGACATATAGATAAATGAAAGAACAGATTGATGGATAGATAGACAAATAGATGGATGGATGGATGTGTATATATATATATATATATATATATATATATAGATAAATGGATGGATGGACATACAGATGGATGGAGAGACATATAGATAGATAGATGGATGGATGGACAGATAGACATATAGATGGATGGATGGATGGATGGACGGATAGATGGATGGATGTATGTATAGATGGACAGATAGATGGATGGATGGATGAATGGATGGATGGATATATGACAGATAGACATATAGATGGATGGATGGATATATGACAGATAAGACATATAGATGGATGGATGGATGTATAGATGGACAGATAGATAGATGGATGGATGGATAGATGGATGTATAGATGGACAGATGGATGGATGGATGGATGGATGGACAGACATATAGATGGATGGATGGATGGATGGATGGATAGATGAACAGATAGACATATAGATGGATGGATGGATAGACAGATAATTGGAAGGATGGATGGATGGAAGTATAGATGGATAGACAGATAAATGGAAGAACAGATTGATGGATAGATAGACAAATAGATGGATGGATGGAGGTATAGATATACATATATAGATAAATGGATGGACAGACATACAGATGGATGGCGAGACATATAGATAGATAGATAGATAGATAGACGTATGAATGGATAGACAGACATATAGATGAATGGATGGATAGATGTATGTATAGATTGGATAGATAGACATATAGATAAATGGATGAACGGATGGATGGATGGATATAGATAGATATATAGATAGATGATGGATGGACGTATAGATAGATCGATAGATAATCATCTGTATTTTGACTTATGTATTTTAAACGTGGATCTTGTTGGTTCCTCTCCGCCGGTGTTTATGTAATCGCTCTATACATTAGCAGCATCACGGCGTCATATAAACTCAGCAGAGCATCACGAAGAAACACGTGATCATTGTTATTGTCATGAACGCTGTGTGCAACAATACTAACACAACAAAACCAGCACGGAATTACGCAACGAAGCAAAAATGAAAGTAAATCAAACCGACTTCCGTGACAACGATCAATAATCAAGCGCAAAATCTGCTCGTTTTGTTTTTGAGGTAAAATGACAAATACATAAACGCGCTCGTGATCAATCACGCAATATTTCAGCTTCAAACGCGATTGATCGGATGATAATGAGAGCAACGCGCCGCTGTAACGGACAGAACACAGTCTTACCTGAATGACGCCTCTGTCGTTTTCTTCTTTCTGTCAGTATCTAGAGGAACATGTTTATATTAGACAGCCGCGGGAATGAGAGGCGCGACGCGACGCGACGCTCGCTGCGATCCGCGCGTGAATGTGCGCTGTGCTGCTGAGCGCGCGATGAGGACGATCCGACGCCGCGCGGTGATTGGCTGCCCGCTTGAGTTCACATGAGAAAAAAATGTTTATTAATAAATAACGTTTTACTATGAGCTAACATATATTTAAAAACACCAACTACAAAAAAAATAAAAAATAAAATAAGTAGCACGGGTATATTTGTAGCAATAGCCACAAATTCATTGTATAGGTCAAAATTATTTTTCTTTTATGCCAAAAATCATTAGGATATTAAAGATCATGTTTCATGAAGATATTTTGTAAATGTCCTACTGTAAATATATTAAAACTTAATTTTTGATCAGTAATATGCATTGCTAAAAACTTCATTTGAACAGCTTTAAAGGCGATTTTCTCAATATTTTAATTTTTTTGCACCCTCAGATTCCAGATTTTCAAATAGTTGTAGGCTATCCCAGCCAAATATTGTCCTATCATAACAAACCATACATCAATGGAAAGCTCATTTAGTCAGCTTTAATATAATTTACTCTTATGACTGGTTTTGTGCTCCAGGGTCACATATTGTCCTGTCCAAAGTCTCCAATTGCTTATATTATGATAGTCAACCCTGTTACACCACTTATCATAATTGTTACTATCTAAAAAGTAATTAATTACTCACAATGTCATAGAATGGAAGAGTCCAAAAAATGCATTACGATTGACACTAAACATGCTTACATACAAACATTAAAATGAGTGAAAATGCAGGAAGAGAATGTTTCTCCCCCACAGGGAATAGCTGTCTCCTTTCACAGTAATCAAGATGAAGCCTGTTAATGCTGGAATGCAGGAAAGATGAGTAAATAAACAGCAGCTCTGAGGTCTGTGTGTCCTGCAGCCATGCATCTCTTCACAGGGATTGGGAATAAAGCTTCAAATCCACGAAATGTTACACAACTAGGGTTCTGGACCAGGATTACATAATAGGCCCTCAGGATAACATAAGGGAGAACAGGACTAGATGTCACACTTCTCAGTTTGTGCCAGGAATTTCAGACTATCACAATAAAAATTAAAAAGTCAAAATAAATTAATAAAAATAAATAAATAAATAAAATTACAGAAATATGGTGATACTGTAATTAATTTGTAAGACAGAATTCAGAAAAATTACTCAAATTTCAGATTGTTTTAATTAACTAGTAGATATTTAAAACGAAATGATGCGAATGAGTGATCTTGTGCTGTATTCATCACTCAGCAGCGCCAACTAGTGCTGCATCAAACACACCACACACATCTACAAGCCTTTATTTCAAAATATAAAAATAGCAAATATAATTAATTAATCTTATAGTTGCAACGGTGGCATAAAATTGTTTGCATTTCGTCCTTAATGAGTTATTATAAATCATCTTAAAATAAACCAGCTGTACAATGTAAACAACATACTGTATGTTACAGAAACAGAACTTTAAATTCATCAGAGAGTGCATGTCTGTATAAGACCGTTTCTGCCACAGAAGAAAAACTAATTATAAAGGTAATTGCAACCTTGCTTTTTATCTCACAATTCTGACTTTTATTCTTGCAATTCTGAGTTTATATCGTACAGTTCTGATTTTTTTTTGTGATGTTTGCATATATATATATATATATATATATATTAGTTAGTGTTGGGGGAACATATACTGTCGGAAATCTACGGGTGACGTCACGGACACTACGTCCATGTTTTTATACAGTCTATGGTTTTGACTCATGGCATCTGCTCTTTGAACCCTAAATACTGCGTCTGCGCCTCTGTCATCAGCTGCTGATGAACCACGGCTGCGTCCATGATGGAGCTTCCCAGCGGGTCCTGGACGATCGGCCTGCCCTCCGCAGGCTTCTCCACACTTCGTACCGGGGCTTGAGGCTTCTCTATCCCGCTGAGGTTCCAGCCCACAGGAAGTGACATCACAGGCTCACCTACCAGCAGGACACAGAAGGACAGTCAGGTGCAGCTGCAGGTAAACACGTATCAGAAAACACCGCAGCTTTACCTGCGATCATCTGAGTTGGTGATTCAGAGCTGTATTCCAGATGTCTCTCTCCATTCACTTCCTCCAACTGAAAAGACAAATATCGGATAAAACAGTCCATGTTTAATTATATAAAATGATACTTTTTGGCACTGAATGTCTTATTTATTCTCATTTAGCTATTAGTTCAAAAGATACATTTAATGCAGTGTTATTTTAGTATTATAATAAATAATACTAAAATAACTAGGGGTGTCGAAATTAATCGTTGCATTGCTTGACAGCGCTATTATTGTAGTCTTTTACTTTAGATATGCTTTCATTTCTGCCGTTTGGAATGCAGTACGTATTAGATGCACGAAACTCACGTACTGACAGACTTTCACGTGCGCTTTGTGTTTGTTTGTCCTGAAGCTCGATCGGTTAAATGCACTTGCATCTACTTTTATGATACGAAATTGATGTAAACACAGTCAGTTATGTTTTCAGAACAGGACAAAACATCTGATATGTGGAAATAGATCTGTGCATTAGTGTGAATGCAGCCTATTAAAGCTGCCACTGTCTATGAACTCATCAGTAATAATCACACAGCAATAATGCTGATTAATAAAGAAAAACCCATAACTATGATCATCTGTAAACTTTCCAGATACTGAAAGTGCTTTTTGTTTATCACTTGCAATTGTCTTTCCCCCCCTTTAAGTAGCCTGCTTATATAATTTAATAAAAACTGCACAAAATAAATTTGATATAATCGTGATGCATCGTGATATCGAAATTGAATTGAATCGTTGACATGATAATCATAGTCGGATTGAATTATGAAACCAGTGCCGATTCACACCCCTAAAAATAACACTGCATCGATTGAAAATGTAATAAATATTATTAATAATAAATAATAAGTTAATTTATTAATAAATAGTATTTATAAGTTATCATCAATAGTAATCTATTCATAATAGTACAAGTTTAAAAATGTATTAATAATATTAGAAGTAATTTATTAATAGTATTCATTAATATTTTGCACTAGCTTTTATTTCTATAATTTATATTTAATTTGAGTGTTTTGTTATCTTTTTATTATTTTTATATATATTTCTATTATTTATTTTCATTAATTTATTAAAACGAATTTTTTTATTTCAGTTTTCGTTTTAGTACTTAAAATTTTTTTCAGTTAGTTGCAAATGCTGCATTTTTTTTTTTACTATTATTATTTTGCATATGTTTAAGTAGAATTTTTAGTTTTATTTGAAATACTAAAAAGGCAACATTTTAAATTTTCTTAGTTTTTCATATAATATTTATATTTAATTTTATTTTAGCTTCACTTCAGTTACTGAAAATGTTTTTATAGGGTTAGTTTTAGTTTTTTAGTTTTACTTCAACTTGCCAAGGCAAAATATCTCATTTTCACTTAAGTTTTTTTAATGATAAATATTCATATTTTATTTGCACAGTAGCAATACTGATTCAGTGCTGATTATGTTGCATAAGTCGTTTCATCTCTGATGCCTTTATATGCTGTCTAGATAGTTTTGGAGCGGGTAGCTGGTCTAATTACCTCAGCACAGATGGGTTCTGGCAGTCGACCGGATGTTTGTCCTCTGTCTTCCAGTTTAAAGGTACTACGAAAGAAGCAGCAGAGCATCTGAAGCGATTGCCTAAGAAAAGATCTAACCGCTACCTATCTGTCTTAAAGCTTACCAAGACCTGCTGGAGAGCGGCGCGTCACAGTTCACAGGGGACTCCAGCGGCCCGAGACTCTGGGAGGAAGAGAAAACACAGAAGTGGTTGAAGTCTGTGCAAATGTGCATGATGTTAATGGGTGGGACCTTGCTTTGAGCTGAATCAAAGCATAAACAGAGTCGAAAACGTCTTTTCTAATCCCATGAGATGAGATTATTCAACATCCTGAAATGAACTTTTGGCCACACCTGAACATGAGACGAAAATGCAGCACAATCCGTGATTAAACCATATTTTGCATCAGTTATTTAGAGTTTTGTTGAATTTGCATTGAAAGATTTTATTTATTTTTTATATCAATATTTATTCATATTCTGAATGACCTTGTAGCTTGGTGAAACTTTTGGCTACACCTGAACTGAGATAAAATGCCTTGAAATCCATGAAACTGTTTTTAGCATTAATTTTAATACAAAATATTTTTTTCTCCAGTAATTATTTAGTGTTTTGTTGTACTTGCCCTGACAGATTTTTAATTATTTTATTTTATATCTGTTATATTTTTTTGCATGATGTGTGTGTTGTACCTGTGCAGTGTTTTTTTTAGCATTATTCAATTCATTTCACAATAATTTTGATGATACGCATGGTTTCAAAGCAGCTATACAGAAAATGCATGTTTCAAATATTATAATTATAAAATATGAAAATATTACTAATATTATTTTTTAATAAATAATAAGTTGATTTATTAATAATTTAACTATTATAGCATTTATTAATATGAATTATGAATTAGCTTTTATCTTAATTAAACATCCTACAATTAATTCAAAATAAATCATATTTATTTAGCATCAATTTTAATACAAAACATTTTTTTCCCATGCAAAGAAGTTATTTTTTGCATGGCAAGTGTTTTGTACTGTTATTTTAATTTAAATGAATTGTTTATTTGTATAGTGCTTTTAATAATATATACCATTTCAAAGAAATGATTTATTAATAAATTAGCTATTATAGCATTTATTAATATTCTGAATTAGCTTTTATCTTAATTACACATCCTAAGATTAGTTTTTGGCCACACCTGAACTGAAAAGAAATCCATGCTGTATATTTTGCATAAATTTTCATGCTAAATATTTTTTTTATCCCTATGCAAAAGGAGTTATTTAGTGTTTTGTTGAAGTTGCATTGCATGATTTGTATTTATTGTTTTACTGTGTTTATTGTATTTATGGTCTGTACCTGTGTGGTGGCTCCGTTAGACGGCAGCGCCGGAGGAACCTGCTCTTTCTCTTTAGGATTCGTTGACTGACGATTCCTGACGATGTACTCATAAGTGCTGATGCCCTGAGACACTGAGACACGACACAGAGTGAACAGAAGCTGCTATCTGTCTATAAAAGTGGATAACGCTGGGCTCAAACTCACGTAAGTAAATGTGGAAGCACAGTAAGTGGCAGAGCAGCAAGAGAGCAGCCAGAGCCAGCAGGACTGTGATGAAGGCCAGAGCCAGCAGACCAATGGAGCTCGTCTCTAAAGGAGCCGCCGGCAAGAAAACCAGCCACGAGTCGTTGCCTTTCACAGCTGCCAGAGAAATTACCAATGAGAAAATAGAACTATACCCTGAGAAAACATCTAATCCTTACACAGTAGCTTTGTCTTGATTTCCTGTACAAATATCCAAACATTCTAAAATCAAGGCAGATTTACTTGGAAAGCAAAATTATGTAAAAAAAAAAAAAAAAATGGGGTAAGAAAAATACACTTAAAGCAATAGCAGATTTTTTTCAGTTTTTAACTAAAATTCATAAAAAAATAAAGCTAAATAGAAATATTTTTAAAAATGACAAAGCACATAAAATTAGTAAAATATGAAAAGTTTTAAACAAATTAAACTAAAAATATAAAAAAGCTAATTCAAAATATTAATAAATACTATAATAGTATGTAAACAATACTAAAATAACACTGGATTTTAGATATTTACTCTTGTTTTCGGAAAAATGTATTAAAATTAAGTTAATTTGTGCTTAAAAAAAAATCTGTCAATGGGGTAAGAACAGTAAACTTAAATTTAAACCAATAGCAGATGTAGCAGATTGTCTTGTTTTTAACTGAAATAAATATAAAATACGTATTTGTTTTTTTAAACAAGACTATATCAATATCATAAGTCATTTTGCATCTCCAGTAAATGTGTCTTGATTTTAAGAATGTTTAGATATTTGTACTGGAAAACAAAACAAAAATACTGATTAGGAAAGTTTTTTTTTTTTTTGCAATGTAGAAAATGAGAAGTTACATGTCTTCAAAATTTCAGATTTTTTATATTTAATAACGTGTGATGAAGCCCGATGAGTGTGTGACTGTACTCTTGTTAACGCTTTAATCTATTACTTTATGTATTTGGTGAGTTTTGTTTTATATATGGGCTCATGATCATTATTTTATATTTTTTGTAGAATGAACTTGATTAATTGCTGAAGGTGCAGAAGTTTAGGGTCGGATATTTTTGGCTCATAAAGGCTGCATTTATTTGATCAAAAATATAGTAAAAATTGTGAAATATTATTAAAATTTAAGATATCTTCTTTCTATGTGAATATCATATTTTTTTTTACTTCATTTATTCCTCTGATGGCAAGCTATTACTTCAGTTTTCAGTGTCACATGATCCTTCAAGAAACATTTTTTATTATGATAGATTTTGCTGCATAGTATTTTTGTGGAAACCATGATTTTTTTTAGGATTCTTTAATGAATGGAAAGTTCAAAAGAACAGCATTAATTTGGAATGGGAATCTTTTGTTACATTATGCATGCCTTTTACTGTCACTTTTGATCTATTTAGTATTAAATAATATTAATTTATTTCCAAAAATCTTGGTGCACAGTTAAACTAAAAATATAAAAAAGCTAATTCAAAATATTAATAAATACTATAATAGTATGTAAACAATACTAAAATAACACTGGATTTTAGATATTTACTCTTGTTTTCGGAAAAATGTATTAAAATTAAGTTAATTTGTGCTTAAAAAAAAATCTGTCAATGGGGTAAGAACAGTAAACTTAAATTTAAACCAATAGCAGATGTAGCAGATTGTCTTGTTTTTAACTGAAATAAATATAAATAAACCGACTGTAAATAGAAAAAAAACCCTAATAAAAATCAACAGGTAAAACGACTAAAACTGTAAAAGTTTTAAACAAACTGAAAATTAAAATTATAAAAATTAAAGCTTATTCAAAATATTAATAAATACTATAATAATTTATAAATTATAACGCTGAAATGTCATGAATGTTAGATATTTTGTCTTGTTTTCTGAAAAATGTATTAAAATTAAGCAAGTTTATGCTTGAAACAATTTTTGTGGAAACTGTGATACATTTTATTTTTCAGGATTCACAGATGAATAGAAAGTTCAAAAGAGCAGCATTTATTTGAAATATAATTTTTTCGTAACATTATAAATGTCTTAACTGTCACTTCTGATCAATTCAATGCATCCTTGATGAATAAACGTATTAATTTCATGCGCTGATGAACTGGAATTGAGTCCAGAGACACGGCTGGTCTTACTCTGAAACTGCGGCGCGGTGCGCAGGACAGCAGGGTTCACATAGTGCTCGATGAAGACAAACAAGACCACAAGAATGAGGAGGATCATCCCAATGACAGCAGACAAGACGGTTATGAAAAAGAACCTGGGAAAAACCAGTCATTCCTATATGAACATTCAGACACTGTCAAACATCTTTAAAGAGACAAAAATATGCAAATGCTGCCTCTACATTTGTGTTATCAAATGGCACTTCTGCTCACCTGTAGTTCCTTCCTCCCACACAGTTGTTTAGCCATTTGCAGTGATGGTCGAAGTCTGCGATGCATTTGTTGCAGGTGCTGCAGTGTTTGGCTTTAGGTCCGCTGTGGAGGAGAAGCTGATTATTCACTAAAGCAAACGGTTAGGACGTTTGTCTGGACAAATAACATTGCTGTAGAAGAGCTGTGTGCCATTCACAAATGAACTGAGAATTTCAAATCAATTCTTAAATTTGAATTGAGGTAGAAAACATGGATGCTGAAATGCAATTTAAGAAAATAAAATTAAAATGGAACATTGTTATTGTCAACTAAAACTATTGTATTTGTTGATTAAAATTAAGCTGAAATAATGCAAAATATACAGTAAATATATGATGAAAAATGCTGAGAAAACTGCTGTTTTGTCTACTAACTGAAATAAATGTTTAAGTTGACAATCAAATTACTAAAACTGAAATAAAAATAAAGATAAATAGAAATAAAAAACAACAAAAATGACAAAAGTCCATAATAAAATTGCTGTAACTTAAACAAATTAAAATGAAAACTGAAAATATATTTTTAAAAAATGTTAATTCAAAATATTAATAATTACTACAGTAGTATATAAATAATACTAAAATTACACTGAAATTAAATTAAACTTCTGTCATTTAAAAAAAAAAAAAAAAAAAGAGAAATGTTGCCTTGGCTGATAACTAAAATAAAAGTTTAAATTGAAGTATAAAATAAAAATAAAATTAATAAACTAAAAATAAATATAAATACAAAATAAAGCTGAATAGAAATGTTTAAAAATACTAATAAAAATGACGAAAGCACATAACAAAATTACTAAAACGTTAAAGGTTTTAAAGAAATTAAAATGAAAACCAAAAATACAAGGGCTAATTCAAAGTTTTAGTACATTACTACATTATTATGTAAGCAGTACTAAAATAACACTAACATTTTATAAAACTGCTGTTAGCTTCTATTCTATTCTATACAGGAAAAAAAGAATTAAAATTAAGCAAGTTTATACCTAAACCACAAAAAATATCTGCCAACGAGGTAAGAAAAATACACTTTCTGTTTTAACTAAAATATATAAAAAATAAAGCTAAATAGAAATATTTTTTAAAATGACAAAGCACCTAAAATTTGTAAAATATGAAAAGTTTTAAACAAATTAAACGAAAAATATAAAAAAGCTAATTCAAAATATTAATAAATACTATAATAGTATGTAAACAATACTAAAATAAAACTGAATTTTAGATATTTACTCTTGTTTTCAGAAAAATGTATTAAACTTAAGTTAATTTGTGCTTAAAACAAAAAAATAATATCTGTCAATGGGGTAAGAAAAATAAACTTAAATAAATTTAAACCAATAGCAGATGTAGCAGATTGTCTTGTTTTTAACTGAAATAAATATAAATAAACCGACTGTAAATAGAAAAAAGAAACTAATAAAAATGAACAGGTAAAATTACTAAAATTGTAAAGGTTTTAAACAAACTGAAAACTACATTTATAAATAATAACACTGAAATGTCATGAATGTTAGATATTTAGTCTTGTTTTCTAAAAAAAAATGTATAAAATATGTATACATGTATAAAATAACACTAAAATTGAATAAAACTGTTGTTAGTTTCTATTCTATTCTATACTGAAAACTGAAAATATATCAAATTAAAGCTAATTCAAAATATTCCTAAATACTACAATAGGATATAAATAATACTGAAATAACAGTGAAATGGAATGAAACTGTTTTAAGTGTATTTTATATTATATTATATACAAAGTAAAAATTTGTAAAAATGTTAAATTTGTAAAACTGAAACAAATATACAAATAAAAGCTAAAAAATAAAGCTCAAAATATTACTAAATACCACAATGGTATATAAATAATACTAAAATAACAGTGAAATGGAACAAATTTGATTATATTTATATTTAAAAGCAAGGGTGGCAAAATATCTAGAAATGCCATTTCACTAACCAACACAGAAATATTCCTCTTCCTGTCATTCCAATTTACACTCATGCATTAAAAGGAAGCAGGAAGCAAATGTAATTATAATTTTCCTCAACTCTGATCTATATATTATTTTTACATTTACATTTAGCAGACTCTTTTATCCAAAGCGACTTACAAACGAGGACAATGTAATACTATTTTTTTCTCTATAGGGTTTCAGTAAATCTAAACCGATGTACAGTACATACACGTCCACCTCACACAGCGTGCAGTGCAGATTGTGGATGATGTGCTGATGTTTGGTGTTGTCAAACACAGGCATGGGGCTGGAGTAATCCTTCCTCCTCCGAACGCTCAGATCCGCGGGGTCGATCGTCACCGCCGCCACGTGAGTCACCAAGTGCAGAACAAACGCCGTGCCGATCAACTACACATGAAGTGTGAAGGTTCAACAACAGTGCGAACAAACACCACACCGATTCACATCTCAGTTCATTCGACTCGCTCTCAGCTGGAGCGTGTGAGATCTCCAGTTATCTGCACAAACACTCGCTGCTGACATCAGCCTGTCATTGAGCTCACGCTGCTGTCTTAAAGGGGTCCTATTATGCTCTTTTACAAAGTCTTGATTTTGTTTTGGGGGTGTACTGGAACAGGCTCTCATACTAGGTTGTTCGAAAAACACATTATTTTTCAAATATTTTACATTATTACAACACCTCTCTCCCCAGTCTGGCATGAACGACTCGAATAGTTCCTGTATCAAATGAAGGCCCGCCTTCTGAAATACGAAATGTGCTGCGATTGGTTAGCTGGGCCAATGTGTGTTGTGATTGGTTAGCTGGGCCAGTGTGTGCTGTGATTGGTTAGCTGGGAAAGCTAGCATGTCTCCAACATAGTGATAACACTCGTTGCCTTCTCTAGTGCAGCTCAACCAGGTCTCGTCCCATTCGTCGATATTTGTGATATCACAAATCCCGGAAAATATGCGTTGTAGTCCAAACGAGTCGTTCGTTGTACTTTTTGAAAAGTGATTTCTGTTCAATAAAATATCTCCTTTTGAAGTAGACTTTGAACTTTGTAACTTTGCAGATCTTTTTTATGCTCAAACAGCAACATTACAGACTAACTAAAGTTGAAAAAGTGAAAAAGCATAATAGGACCTCTTTAAGAGGCACTGATTGCTCCTTAGACTGATTCAGATGAAGAAACCATGAATCTTTTTGACTGATTCACTTAAAAATAAGAGTCATTTGTTCATGAATTGGACAAACTGGTCGTGTTCTACAGTACACTATGTTTGAGTATGTTTGAGATAATGCAACAGATATATTGTCTATTTATGGCCTTTCAGTACATTCAGTTATTTTTGCATCTGTGTTCGGGAAACTCTCATTATTTTGGCAATGCAATGTGGTGAAAAAAGTACACACTTTCTGCTTAGTATAATTGGATTTTTATGGCAGAACAGACTGTAAACGAAAAACTAAAACTGAAAATTTTAAAACTCAAAATATTAATAAATATTACAATAGTATATATATAATCCTAAAATATAATTGAAATGGAATGAAACTGCTGTGTTTAGGGATGCACGATATATCGGCCACCGTATCGGTATCGGCTGATAAATGCTCATTTTTTCAGTTATCGGTATCGGCCAAAATGTTCATATCGGTGCATCCCTAGCTGTGTTATTATATTATATTATATTATATATAAAATATGTGACTCTGGAGCACAAAAGCAGTCTTAAGTCACTGGGGTATATTTGTAGCAATAGCCAACAATACATTGTATGGGTCAAAATGATTGATTTTTGTACTGATATATATACCTACTGTAAATATACAAAAACTTAATTTTTGATTAGTAATATGCATTGCTAAGAACTTCATTTGGACAACTTTAAAGATGATTTTCTCAATATTTAGATTTTTCTGCACCCTCAGATTCCAGATTTTCAAATAGTTGTATCTCAGCCAAATATTGTCCTCTCCTAACAAACCATACATCAATGGAAAGCTTATTTATTTAGCTTTCAGATGATGTATAAATCTCAATTTCAAAAAATGTACCTTATGACTGGTTTTGTGCTCCAGGGTCACATACATAAAAAATAAGTAGAAATAAAATAAAACTAAACAGAAATATATAAAAAAAAAAAAAATGACAAAAGCACAAAAAAATCATTTAAACTTAAACTAAAATTAAAATAAAAATTTTATGTATATTATATTATATTATAAACCAAAAATGTATAAAAATAAAAGATAATTCAAACTATTAATAAATACTACAATAGTATATAAATAATACTGGTTGCCCTCATTATTTTTGCAACGCAATGTTATGCAAAAATTACACAGTTAGCTTAGCATAATCGGATTTTTATGGCAGAACTGAATGTAAACAATGGCAGTACTCTGTAAAAATAAGATAATTCAACTTAAAAAAACTCAGTTTTCTGCCTTCATTTTTTTTAAAGAATAATCAAATTGGCTGTCATTTCAACTGATTTTTTAAAATCTTCTCTAGTTGAAAAAATAAAGTGGACACTGGTTAAATTACTTTGAAGAGTTAAGCAGAGGTGGAAAGTAACGAATTACATTTACTCGCGTTACTGTCATGCTCTATTATGCAGTGTAAGCTGTGTTTGCCTAGGGAGACCAAACTAGCAGCTTATAAAATCTCGACACCAAACCTTCGCAAGCATGTAGAGGTAGGGTAAATATTTGCATCATTGCATTGGTAGTTAAAATGAAGTTTTGACAGTTTAGCAAAAGGCTTTGCACAAATTAGCCAAAAAGACAGTGGTGCAGGGTGTGCGATATATATCGTCTGCGATAATATAGTAATTGTTGTTTTAACGATGTGCGATTTGACATTATCAGTATTTTGCCAAAAACCAAACAAAACACTCCTACAGAGTGCTGTGAAGTCTAGTAGATTAGACTAGTGTGCGCGCGCATTTAGAGTGCGTTCTTTATGAAGGTAAAATGACGTCAAAAAGATTTGCATACGTAGGGTAAGAGTTGTGGAAGTGTACATAAGACGCAGATCATATTTATTTTGCGTTAGCATGAAGCTGCAGTTTCACAATACATGAATTACACTTACGAGTAACAGTAAAATGCTGCAAATAATTTTTTCTTACGCTTGAAACGCGATTTACACCTTTACAAAGCTTCTGTTGTGCATGCAAATTTAGCTTACGCTTAGTCTTATGTACACTTCCACAAATATTACCCTGCGTATGCAAATCTTTTTGACGTCATTTTACCTTCATAGTTCTTTCACTGCGTGATTCAGTCTGTTGAAGTGTATTTAGAATGATCACAAAATTGAAGATATAGGGGCAGGAAATGTATATATTTATATCATTTCATATAGTAAATCAATATCACACGAAGAGTGCCGTTTTTTCCTCCAAAAAACAGCATGAATACATATAGATTTTTTTTTACAACAGTTCAATAAACAAGAAGCTGCTTTTGTGTTTCCTCATTGCAAAGATGAATTTTGCTGATACTGATTTAATTTGCCTGGTAACAGCCCAAATGTCTTATTATTCTAAATAACCGATTCCTTTAATTAAAAACAACTGGTTTGAGAGTCATAGGCCTATCCCAGGGGTCTCAAACTCAAAAGCCGCAGCCCTGCAGAGTTTACTGCCAACACACATACCATGTAGTTTTCAAATAAGTCTAAATGATTAGATTAGCTGGATCAGATGTGTTTAATTAGGGTTATATCTAAACTGTGCAGGGCTGTGGCCCTCCAGGAACTGAGTTTGAAAGCCTTGGCCTATCCCATTTTTGCCTCCTGTAACTAAGTAATTTTTAAATTAGCTACTATTTACTTTTACTTGAGTAGATTTTTAGACTGGTACTTTTACTTGTACTTAAGTAAAATTTCATTAATGTAATGGTACTTTTACTTGAGTAGAATATTTTTGTGCTCTTTCCACCTCTGGAGTTAAGTAATAGAAAAAAATGATGTTTTACAGTGTACAGTATGTTTTGTGATCAGAATCACTATCGTGAAATGTTTGTGTTTGTGTGGATTGTTTGTAAAGGATACGGCGTACGCTGCAAAGCTCCACGGCGCCGGCAGAAGAGGCACGTAGATACCGAAGCCGACGATGGCCATGAAGCTGTAGACGAGCCAGGCGAGGAGCTGGAGGCTGTGCAGAGGCAGAGACCAGCCGTTGATCCTGGAGTGAAGTGGTGGAGCGAACAGCTCATTTCTGCTGCCGTTGCTCTGCGGGGCTGTTCGTCTGCGGTGACGCCCGAAGCAGTTCAGCTGCAAACACACACAAACAAACGCTCTTCATCGATACAGCTAGATCATTCGTGACCCTGGACCACAAAACCAGTCATATAAATAAATAAATAATAAGTAAGCTTTCCATTGATGTATGGTTTGTTATGATATGACAATATTTGGCTGAGATACAACTATTTGAAAATCTGGAATCTGAGGGTGCAAAAAAATCTAAATATTGAGAAAATCATCTTTAAAGTTGTCCAAATTAAGTTCTTAGCAATGCATATTACTAATCAAAAATTAAGTTTTGATATATTTACGGTAGGAAATGTACAAAATGTCTTCAAGGAACATGATCTTTACTTAATATCCTAATGATTTTTGGCATAAGAGAAAAAACGATAATTTTGACCCATACAATGTATTGTTGGCTATTGCTACAAATATACCCCAGCGACTTAAGACTGCTACTTAAGTTTTTGAAAAAAACCGAACTGTTCTGTAATCTATGCATGAAAGGCTAAATCATTGTGCTTCCAGTCTCTTCAACCAGAACAATTAAACATTTTAAAAGACTCTGCCTGGCATCATTATGTTGGCTTGACAAAGCTGCTAATGTCAGTAGTACTGACCTTGAGTTACAGCTTCTTTCCAAAATCCCCAACCTGAGACCAAAACGTCTAAACGCAGCTCCTACACTAGGGTTTACTTTGAAACAAACGGCAAAGAAACGGCAAGTAACACATTGAATTAAGCGAGAAATTCTGAATTAGAAAGATTGAAATAGTATTTTCTCTTAGTAGGCCTATTCCATCTTTGGTTTATTTACAAATTCGAAAAAATTATGTTTACACTGTAAAGCTTTCTGCCTCTTATCTTATCAAATGCAATTTATCCTATTATTTAATTTAATCCTATCCATCTAATGTCTGTCTGTCTGTGTATCTATCTAGCTATTGCTTAGCAACACTAAAACACATTAGCAACACCCTACCACCTTATCAACCAGCATCAGCATCACTCGGCCAACAAGAACACCTTAGCAACAACTTGCAAGCAGTGTTTAATTATATTATATTATATACTGAAAACTGAAAATATAAAAATAAAAGCTAATTCAAAATATTAGTAAACACTATAATGGTATATAAATAATACTAAAATAACATTGAATTGGATTAAACTGCTTTAAGTGTAGTTTGTATTATTATATATAATATATTTACATTATAGTTAAAAAGTAAGGGTGGTAATTTATCTAGAAATGCCATCTGACTAACCAATACAGAAAAATTCACTTAAACAATACTACACATCAATAATTGCCTAGAAACCTCTTAGCAACACTCTAGCAACCACCTTATCAATCCCTCAGCCAACACCTTAGCAACGATTTGCATCCAGTGTTTTTATTTTTAATTACAACTAAAACCATTTAAAATCATTTTCGGTAGCTGAAATAAAATAAAAATATTTAATCAAAAACTTAAAAAAAATGTTGCCTTGATAACAAACTGAAATAAATATACTTAAGTTGAAGTACTAAAATTACTAAAACAGAAATAAAAAAATAAATAAAAGCTATATAGAAATATAAAAAACTAATAAGAATGTCCCGAGTTCGAACCCCACCCCTCTGTCTCCGCAAATCAGCCAAAAATTATATTATGTAAATAATATTAATATATTAATGCTATAATATTAAAACAACAATTTTTGCAACACCCTAGCAACCACATTTCCCAAAAAGACGATTTTTAAAACTTTTATAAACCCTAAATAATCCTCAGATTTGCCTTGTTCTGTCTTCAAGCTTCAAAAGTCAACATTTTGTCTTTGTAAAGCACAAGGTGGAGTCCTGCTGAGCTGTTCCTGTTGAACACGAACAGAAAGATTGTGTTGCCTAGCAAATGTCATCATAAATGCAACCCGAAGAAGCTCTGAGGGACTCAAACATTAGTGAAAACAGTCTAATAATGAGTAACTTGCACAAAACCAATGCACCAGGAACTCTTGTGTTATGCATAACAACGTTAACTATTGCCTTTTCACACAGAATAAAACCGCTGCTACTTTATGTAACTTTTAATAACACCATATATAATAGAAATATAAGACAAATCAATCCATTTCCCACACAAGCATGAATAAAAAGCCACTTACATTCGTCATTGAACAGCTTCCAGCAGTTTTCTCTGGAAAAACATCTGTTGTTGATCATTTGGATCTCTTGGATACAGTTTGCTGATCCATTGATTTCTTCATCATCTCCATTATCAAAGCCATTATCCAGTCTGTAGGCGTTTAATATCCTATTTTAACGCTAAAATATCTCACGTGCCATGTTAAATCCTTAAAATATTAATTATTAAATAGGATAAAATATCTTCCCACGGGAGCCGCGGTGCGCATCTGACTTCAGTCGCATAAAATACAAACCACTACAGCGAAAGCGTACCTGTTGAATATTAATTATGTCATGCGTACGTCACACCAAGGAGCCTTCCAATGGCGAGCGGCAGCTCATGAATATTAATAGCTCACGCTGCTCTTGGCTTCGAACAGCTTATGAATATTAAACAGATTGTGGAAACTAAAACGTGAACGCGTTTTTACACTTTTGACCATTACACTATTTTTTTTTAAAGTGCATATAAACAACAACAAATCAACGCAAAAAGGAAAAGAAAACATTTGAGAGGAAACTCAATCATGAAAGTGGATTTAAAACTTCTAAATGTGTGAACCATTGTTTGACTGTAATTTGATAGGGAAAAGTTCAAACAATGTGAATACAATAAAACTACAGAACATGGAAGTTGTCAGGGGTGGAAGAGTTTAACTGTTACCTAGTGACCACTAGGATATGCAAAGCCAAATGCAAATGAGAGCTCTCTCTATGAATGCATGTGAGAGCTCAGCACTGCAGGCAAATATGCAGAACATTTTCACATCTTAATTTAATGCATGCAATACTAAACTCACAATTTTTTATTTGCTTTTAGCTGTGCATTTAATGAATACGCACTGTGCTGCATACTACTGATAACAATGTAAAAAATTTTTTTTTATTTTTGAACATTTTAAATACATTTGCATTTAATATTTTGTTTACTTATGCATCTGTTATGATTTTTTTTGGCAATCCAGTTTGAATCACCATCGTGTATGAAATGTGCTACAAAAATAAACTTTTGCATTTTATCACATCACAATGATGTGAACGTTGTGCATTTTAAATCATTTTTGTCACATCACTCCTGCATTAAGCAATGACTTCAGATATTTATTTCCACCCCGTTCATTTTCTTTCTCTGTGCAACACTCAACGTTTGGCATTTTTGTTTTTAGTTTTGTGCAGTAAGCAATCCTGTCACTTTGTTGGGTTGCTGCTTGAATTTAAAATGACTCCTGAAGCAAAACCATTTGAGAACCACAGTGATAGTTGGACAAAGGGTTCTGAGGATGTGAAGTGCTACTTCCTAAAGTTCACAAGATAAAAAAGAGAAGCAAACCTACACATAAACGTGAGTTGAAGGTAAAGCACTACTGCAGATCAAACCTGTGGTCAGGAGAAAAAACAGCTTTAAACCACCATATAAAAAAGGGAATCAGACACAGACCTTTTATTTAAAAACAAGCACGTGATGCAGTGAATCTGTACAAGCCTTTAGAACAGCACATAATTACAGCGTGTCGGTCTGAGTGTCACATCAGCTGTTAGCGGTGGATCCAGGCTCTGGAGACTGAAGAAACTCATACGGGTCCTGAACCATCTCTGTCTGATCTCCAACACCCAGATGAGGTGAACTTCCTGATCACAGTGAGCAAATAAACCAGGTTAATATGCAGAATATTAAGATTTATTTTAACCCTATAAAGCTACTGTATCATATTTGATACGCAGAAGCCTCTAAATGATCAACATGATCAAAACTTCACACAATCTACTGCACGCCTTCTGTCGTCTGATTGATTGTTTTTCCAGTAAAAGCTATTTTAGTGTAATTGTACAAACATCCAGCTTCAGCTGGTGCTTCACGTGTCTTTTAGCTGTCAAATCTGATTTTTATCAAGTAAACGTCAGCAATATTTCCAGATGGACACATACTGGACTGAAGCAGCTCGGCTTTACTTGATTCTCTTTTAGAGAAATCAGTGCGTCTCAAATCTGATCCTCTGGATCTTTTGAGGAGCGTTTGTTTCCAGAAGCTTTACTTTCACTGTTCCTCAGCGGAGGAATGATCTTCACGAGCCTCCAGAACATCTCACATCTTCTGAGGAGCCTTTATTTCTTCAGCTCTCAATCACTGCATTATATGTTTGGATCATTTCAATCTCGGCTTACTAAGACATATTATTGCAGATATAGAGCGAGCACTGATATTTAGATCATTTTATGTCAATATCTGCTGTACTGGTATAAAGATCTCATAGATTTACATTACAAGCATCAGAATTTCATTATATAAATATCAGCATCTGCAGCCAATTGCATATTTTTGCTCAGTTTGGGCCTCTGAATTCAATTGAGCTGTTTTTTCCTCTATATTCTCATATATGAGACATAAAAGCCTGATGGATCAAATATGATACTCACCAAAAGAACATGCATGCAAACTTTTCAGATTTTCACAAAAAAAAAAAAAAAATTGTCTAAAAGTTAAATTAACTGTTCCATAAAAAAAATAAAGATTTTTCTGACTATTATTTCATAGAACTGACTTTTTTGGTCTTGTCAGGTTTTGCACAAAATTACCACCCCAAAAAATAATAAAAAAATAAATAAATTAATTTATAAATAATTATAATTATAAATGATAAATAAATAAATTCTAAATATGACACATATTTTTGCTCAGTTTGGGCCTCTGAATTTAATTGAGCTGTTTTTTCCTCTATATTCTCAACCAAAAAAACAAAAAACAAACATAGAACTGACTTTTTTGGTCTTGTCAGGTTTTGCACAAAATTATCACCCCAAAAAAGGAATGCCTGTGATCAGTGCTGGGGGTAACGCATTACAAGTAACGCGAGTTACGTAATCAGATTACTTTAAGTAACGCATTACTTTTTTAAATTTACAAGAAAATATCAAAGTTACTTTTTCAAAAAAGTAATGCCAGTTACTTTGTTTTCCCATTTATTGACTAACAGCTCTCCTGTCCCCATGTTGAGAGAAATCGGAAGCACAGAGGAGTTGTGTGCGCTGTGTGAACATGATGTTACTGTAGTTCTAGACTAAATGTGAATGTGCATTAATTCATCCCACTCACAAAAAACAGATTTAGTATTCATCAAAATGAATTAAAACAGTGAAATGCAAACTCAGAATATGACGCAAACCTGCAATAATTAAATATGTTAAATAACACAAATGTATCTAATCCCATTTTATTAACCAATGTCTTTGCTGCTGACCTTTAATGATCCAGTTCAACCATACTAATAAGCAAAAATGACTTTAGATAAACTAACAATTGTGCTTCATTGTTTTTTTTATTGCTGAAGAGTGTTTCTCGTGAAATTACTTTTCCTTCAGCCTGAGGTTTATTCATTACACTTTTTGGTGTGAAAGGGCTTTTACATTTGCTATAAATATAACTTTTTATATTAAAAACAATCAAGCCCTGCTCATATTTAAAAAGTAACGCGAAAGTAACGCAAAAGTAATGTAACGCACTACTTTCCATAAAAAGTAACTAAGTAACGTAATTAGTTACTTTTTTAGGGAGTAACGGAATATTGTAATGCATTACTTTTAAAAGTAACTTTCCCCAACACTGCCTGTGATGCATAAATTATAAATATGACTCAGTACCTAAATGGTGGTGATCCCTCTCTGAAGTGTTTGACAGGGACGAGAGATTGGAGGAGGGTCGGGATCCGACTCGGTCCACCGCTGCGTCCTGGAACTCCTGCAGGAGTCTAGCTGCATCGTCAAAGTGCTGATGACCGTCTTCATGCTCCGGCTCCTTCTTCACACATTTACCTGCAGATCACAAGAACACCAATGATCAGCTAGAGCAGGGCTGGGCGGTATATCGAGTTTGTACGGTATATCGATATATATTTTTTATAAGCGATACGGTATGAAGCAATACCGTTAATATCGATATACAGTAGCTGATACGAGCGCATCTGAAAAAAATATCTAGGGAGGACACAGACTGAGCTGCTGCGGAGAAAGTGCATACTACAATTTGTTCTAAACATGTGACAAGCTTTATATGAAGGGCTTTAGTAATAGTAATTTAGTAAGATATAGAAGCCTATAGTTAATAGTTTCAGTTTAAAGTGGCTCTGACAGAAAGGCTGCGTGTGAGGCTGACAGTGTTTAATGTGTTTTCCTGAATGCATTACTTACATTTCACAGGTATATTCTCCATCTGTAAATGTTAGAAAGCTATGGAAATCTTTCCATTTTGCTGTCAGAAGTGCATGAGCTTTTGCTTTGCGATTCTCCGCTAAACTTCACAGACTTCATTTAGAACGAGCGCCGCCATGTGCATGCGTACCAAACAGACGGAGCTCAATGAAATAGGAGCAATATACATTTTGCTGAAATATTTGTAGTTGGACAATAAATGTGACGTAGAATTTTAAACCTACAAGTAAGTGTATTTGTATGATAGCACTAACGGTAAAGTGATTGTAGTGGGGTAATCAAAACAGCCTTTTTACTTAATGTAAAGTCTGCTTTTTTATTTTCGTTTTTAGTTTAGTAAATTTAACTTCTGCTTTAAAAGCATTATTTTTGTTTTTAGATCGCAATGTTACAATGTTAGAATGTAATGTGATTTTAACCCTTTTTTGCACAAGTGAATACGTTCACTTTATTTGTTTAATCCAAACACAAAATACCGAGATATATACCGCAAATCAGCCAAAAAATACAGAGATATGAATTTTTGCTCATATCGCCCAGCCCAAAGCTATCAGTAAACCGAACACAAGCAATGACCTGCACAGTCAGGAAGTTCTGATGTGTGATATACGACTCACCTAATGTGTTGAGCATATCTAGAGACATGTCTGGGTAGCTCTTCATGGACATGAAATCCAGCACTGAACCAGATTCCATGCCACTTCCATCTGTTCCCTATAGAAACACAGAGAACATATCATCAAATGGCACTTTAAGAGGTTTGAAACCTGCAGCATGAAAGATAATAGACAGAATTCTTACCGGCATGTCACATAAACTAGATTTAGTGTCATCAATCGGCAAGTTTCTGTTCTGAAATACAAAAACACTTATTATATATTCATTTGCAGTATATAATATTTCACACTACTGTTTAAAAGTTTGAAGATGTTTTTGAAAGAAGTCTCTTCTGCTCACCAAGGCAGCATTTATTTGATCAAAAATACAGTAAAATTGTGAAATATTATTGCAATGTAAAATAACCGTTTACAATGTGATTACATTATAAAATATAATTTATTTCTGTGATGCGCAGCTGTATTTTCAGCATCATTACTCCAGTCTTCAGTGTCACATGATTCTTCAGAAATCATTCTAATATGCTGATTTTCTGCTCAAGAAACATTTCTGATTATTATCAATGTTGACAACAGTTGTGCTGCCTGATATTTTTATGTAAACCGTGGCATTTTATTTTTCAGGATTCTTTGACGAATAGAAAGTTCAGACGAACAGCATTTATTTGAAATAGAAATCTTTTGTAACATTATAAATGTCTTTACTGTCACTTTTGATCAATTTAATGAATCCTTGCTGAATAAAAATATAAATTTCTTTCAAAAAACTAAATAACAGAAGAGAAGCGCGTTGCTGATAGTCAATGATCACAAAACGCTGAGAATGTTTAAAAATCATAAAAAAAAGAAGCAGGTCAAAAGACACATTTTTGTTTATTTTAATACCTGTCGGATTTGGATGATGGCTTTCGAATGATCGCCAGCCGTCATTTTATCCAGCAAATCACCCACAAGCCTTTTGGTAAAACTCCCACAACCCTTGACAAACTCCTGCAGACTGAAGTGCAGACACAGAAAATCCCATCAAACAACAGAGTCCAATGCAACAGCTTAATAATGCTGATCCACGGGTTTGATCTAAACACCTGAGAGCACACTGGACCCCAGTCTCGTCTCCGTAAGCCGAGTACAGCATGTCCATCTCCTCTGGAAGCAGGTCAGGATAGACGGAGTTGTTCTGAAGGGTCTGAGTGTTGTACGCGCTGCTCAAGAACGTCACTGAAACCAAACAACAGGACAGATTCATTGGAGAGAATTTATTTGCAATGGCAGTCACATGCAAAAAAAGACCAAAGATTCTGGTTGTGAGTCATGATTTAAATATTGACTCTTCTAGTATTTTAGAGACAGTAATGTGACTCAAAACCCTACAAATAATAATAATGCTTGAAAACGTTACCTTTGTGCCTCCTGTCGTCTTTAAAACCCAGCGACGTCAGTCCAGGTATGAGCTTATTTGCCAAAGTGCTCAAATCTATAGGATGAGTCTCTTCCTCTGTAAACAATAATCAAGATGTGACCCTGGAGCACAAAAGCAGTCTTAAGTCGCTGGGGTATATTTGTAGCAATAGCCAACAATACATTGCATGGGTCAAAATTATCAATTTTTCTTTTATGCCAAAAAATCATTAGGATATTAAGTAAAGATCATGTTCCATGAAGATATTTTGTAAATTTCCTACTGTAAATATATCAGAGCTTAATTTTTTATTAGTAATATGCATTGCTAAGAACTTCATTTGGACAACTTTAAAGATGATTTTCTCAATATTTAGATTTTTTTGCACCCTCAGATTCCAGATTTTCAAATAGTTATATCTCGATCAAATATTGTCCTATCCTAACAAACCATACATCAATGGAAAGCTTATTTATTCAGCTTTCAGATTATGTATAAATCTCAATTTCGTAAAATTGACACTTAAGACTGGTTTTGTGGTCCAGGGTCACATATATCCTTCAGACACATGATATTATTGCTCTGGATAAACTTTCTGCAACAAAGTCAGCAACCTTTCTGACATAAAGTTACATTTTTAACCCTTTAAAGCCTATTGTATCATATTTTTTATAAAAATCAGTGAGTACCAAATCTGATCATCAGGCTTTTGAGGAGTGTTTATTTGTTCATCTCTCAATCAGCATTGGATTGCATTGCATCATATGTTTGGATCATTTAAATATCATTTAACTAAGACACATCATTGGAGATATAGAGTGACGACTGATAATTATATAATTTTATATAGGTATCTGCTATACTGTTATATGGATCTCATTGATTCACATTACAAGCATTACAATTTCATATTTTTGTTCATATAAACAGCATCTAGAACAAAATTTTTGCTTAGTTTGAGCTTTTTTAAAATAAAACTGAGCTGTTTTTCCTCTGTATTGTCACTATATCATACTATATGAGCCATAAAAGCCTGATGGATCAAATATGATACTCAACAATAAACACACATCCAAAGCTTTTTTTTTATGTTTTGTCTAACAGTTCATTTATCTGTTTCAATTAAAAGAAAAAGTTTTTCTGACAATTATTTCATATTTCAGACTTTACAGGGTTAATTTTCTAAACACTGTGCATAATTGTGATTATTACCACCTCATTGTTTACCGGTTCAGCTATTTTTATACACATATATATAGTCTGCTATATAAAGTAGTACCTGGAGCACAAAAGCAGTGTTAAGTCGCTGGGGTATATTTGTAGCAATAACCAACAATACATTGTATGGGTCAAAATGACCAATTTTTCGTTTATGCCAAAAATCATTAGGATATTAAGTAAAGATCATGTTCCATGAAGATATTTTGTAAATGTCTCACCATAAATATATTAAAACTTAATTTTTGATTAGTAATATGCATTGCTAAGAACTTCATTTGGACAACTTTAAAGGCGATTTTCTCAATATTTTGATTTTTTTTGCACCCTCAGATTCCAGATTTTCAAATAGTTGCATCTCAGCCAAATATTGTCCTATCCTAACAAACCATACATCAATGGAAAGCTTATTTATTCAGCTTTCAGGTGATGTATAAATCTCAATTTTGAAAAATTGACCCTTATGACTGGTTTCGTGGTCCAGGGTCACATATGCACGGGAAAATATACATTTAAATACAGAAAATCATTGCCATTGTACATATTGCATTGCCATTTCGCATATTACATTTCAAAATGAATATTGCTACCCTTATGCTTCCATAATATTTGCCTAATTGCATGACCCGCAACTTGTAAACGTTGTACCCAGATTTTCAACACGTGCAAAACTTTGTGAGTGTAAGAAACATTAGGTTACAGCTCGGCTGCACCTTAGAGTTCGGCATGAAACTATTGATTCGATCCCGCGCTTCATCCGCCGCGTGCTCCACCAGCGCCAACACATGCTCCTCCGCCGTGCTGTCCGTCAAACTGCAGGCGTTGCCCTCCAGCTCATACAGATCACTAGACGAGCAACACATCTGCTCAGTCACACACTCACAAACACGAGAAACATTCAAAAGCGCTGCAGATCACTGCTTTACCTGATGATAGGCTCTTTTACAGGCTGCTTCTTGGACTTTTTGGGGTACTCCGTGTGGATCGGCAGGATCTCCGTCACCGGTTCCTTAGCCGTGATGTGGTCATCTCCCAAAATGGCAGCCTGCTGAGAGAAATCCATGTCCTGCATAAACGTCATGCTGCGCTTCAAAGCTAACAGCCGCTCCTGTGAACAGAGCACAAATAGACCAACACAGCACCCATTTACTCCTCCTGCGGAGGTCTTAGGCTGGCCATGAGGATGGGAGACACGGGACATCCAACACGGGATGGATTGAAATTAAGAAAGTGATTGGATGGTGCAAATACTCGTCTCTGAGTCCACAGAGCACTCGAGAAAAATCTCACTAATGCAATAAAATAACAGTGTGGTGATTAAAGTCTTGGATCTTTGTCCCATCTAATACTAAAAACAAACAGCTTTAGGATTTTGGAAAAATTATTAAATTAGGAAAAAATAAATAAATTCTGCTTTACTATTTCTAGGTCACAAAGAAAAAAATCTATACAATTAAGTATCATCTTAAATTCTATTTTAATGTACAGAATATAATATAATATTATTTTTTGCAACTACATAAGATATATTATACCCTATTATATATTCAATAATAATTTTAATATATTTAACAGACTTTTCCAACACTTTTTGATATTTTTTAAAAATTTAAGATTTTTAAATTAATTTATTAATTTTTATTAAAATACATTTTATTAATTTTGTCTTATGAAAGTTTCAGGCTTTGCAATCACAACTTTAAAATTCCCTAATATTTCAGATTGTGTGAAAAAGTCAGCTTCCATTCATGAACAAAAAATGCTCTTTGTAACGTTCCCAAATCATATTGACTATTATCCTGATCATTTAATTTGTCATGGAAAATATTGTATTTAATTTAAAAAGTACACAATAAGAAGCATTTTTACTAGTTTAATAGTTTTTGTATATATTCTGAATCAGATTTTATCTTTTATATTTTCAGTTTTAACTTTAATTTTAGTAAAAGTTTAGTAATTTTGTTGTGTTTTTGTCATTGCTATTATTTATATATTTTTATTTACTAGCTTTAGTTTATTTAGTTTGAGTTACTTTAGTTAAACTAAATGAAATTAAGAAATGTCGCATTGGCAGCTAGCTGAAATAAAATAAGTTTTAGTTATTAAAGTTACATATATTTTATGTCAACTAACAAAAAAATTTTTTTTTTATGCTTTTAGTTTTAGTTAACTATAATAACCCTGTACCCAAGTTAGTGTTGTGGAAAGTTACTTTTAAAAGTAATGCATTACAATATTGCGTTACTCCCTAAAAAAGTAACTAATTACGTTACTTAGTTACTTTTTATTGAAAGTAACACGATACGTTACTTTTGCGTTACTTTTTAAATCTGGGCGGGGCTTGCTTGTTTGCTTTTAATATAAAAAGTTCTATTTTTGGCAAATATAAAAGCCCTTTCACACCAAAAGCCTGAGGCTGAAGGAAATGTAAACTCACGTCTGTACAGTATATACTGCATGTTCACATTTATTCTAGAACTAAAGTAACATCTTACTCCTGATTTCTCTCAACAAGGGGACAGGAAAGCTGTCAATCAATAAATGGGAAGCAAAGTATAACTGGTGTTACTTATTTGAAAAAGTAATGCGTTACTTTACTAGTTACTTGAAAAAAGTAATCTGATTACGTAACTCGCGTTACTTGTAATGCGTTACCCCCAACACTGTACCCAAGTATTTAGATTACGATAACCACACGCATCCGAATCGAATGGGAATGATGGCACGGATGAACTGGAGGATGAACAACAAAGGCAGAAAATAACCAAAAAAATGTTACTTTGCTCATCATTTTGAATCCTGTGTGGAGAAGTTTCTTAGCGGCCTTGTAGTAAACCGTCTCCGGTCGGTTATAAACCATGGCGTTGTCACACATCAGCTTGAAGTCTGCCTGGAGAGTCACACATCAGATTGAAATCAGTTACACTTTTATAGTTAAAAGTCTTCTAATATGAAGACAAATGAAGATAAAAAGAGCGGGACACTTGCGTACCTTGAATTCTGTGATAGTTTTGTATTCGTTTGCATCGATTTTGTCCTTCATTGTGCTGAAGTCCATGGGATGTTTGATTATCATGGAGTATCCTGGAGCAATGGCGTCTGTCACCGGGAAGGCGAAGAATCCGTGTGCATCTTTCCTGTCGAGACAGAAAGACTGTCCTTATATAATGCAGATATGAGGAAAGATTAAAATTACAATGCCATCTGCTTTTTCAGAGGCTCACCTTTGAAGCAAACGCAAGAAATGCTCCAAGAGCTGCTGGCGAGGGGTGCATTCGTTTTCTAGGAAAAAAACAAAGGACAGACATAAAAATCACTTGTAAGTCATTTGTGATTTGTTTTGATGGATACCAGGGCTGTGCATCATTCAGAACTGAACTGAGAATGTCTTTTAAACAGCTGTTTAATTCATGAATTTGAAACGGAATTTATTTGAATTTAAGGAATCGGAAACGGCTGAAAGCGTAGATTTTACAACACTTTGTTCAAAACGGAGCCAAAAAAAACCCGTATATTTTAACTAAATATATAATTTAATGATTTTAATTTTATTTTCAATATTTCTTTTAATGGTAACACTACAATACGGTTTTATTTTTTATTAATTAGTCGACTGCATTAGTTAAAATGAACGAATAATGAAAAATATTTCTAAAGCATTTATTAATCTTAGTTCATTTTAATTTTGACATTTACTAGTACATTATTAAAATCAAACATCCGTTAATGTTATTTAATGTACATGAACTAACAATGAACAGTCGTGTTTTATTAACTGTATTTAATGGTAACAAAGATAATAAATACTGTATCAAAATGTATCGGTACTTGTCAATTAATGCATTAAATAACATGAACTAACTAGACCTTATTGTAAACTGTTACCTATTAATTTGAATTTAAGCAAGTGAAAACTGCTGTAAGTGTACATTTTAGTATGCTTTGTTCAAAATAGAGGCAAAAAACACTAATGCAATCATAACTCAATATATAATTTTTCAATAAATCACTTTTCAACAAGGTTCCATTAGTTAACTATATCAGTAAACAAATTAACAATGAAAAATACTTTTAATGTGTTATGTTAATTTCAGCATCTACTAATACATTATTAAATTTAAACGTTGTATCTGTTAATATTAATGTACTTGAACAGTTGTTTTTATTAAAGGTGACATATCATTTATTATTAAAATTTTTATAAATTATTAATAATAAATGGTGGTAAAGGTTAATGAATTCAATTGATTCATTGATTGTTTTTGGTTATTAAAATGTGAATAAACCATTAAAGGTGACATATCATGAAAATCTGACTTTTCCAGGTTTTAAGTGCTATAATCCGGTCCCCGGTGCATCTACCAATCAAGGAAACGTGAAAAGATTAACCCAGTAACTTTGTTTAGGGAAGCCTTTTTCTGCAAGCGTCTGAGAAAACGAGCGCGTCTGATTTCGCTCCCTTGGATGACGTGGCAAAAAGATCTCATTATAATATTACCGCCCCTTAATCTGTAAGTTTCCATTCACGGCGCCGTCATTTGATTACGCAAGCGACAACGGTGCACTAGTTCTAATGCAATGGCGAAAGTTTGAGCAAAACATGCTAACTGTTCTGCCTTTGTCTGCACAGACGAGCACAGAACACTGTTTAGATCTAAAATAAACATGCGATTTATTTCCCAGCAGTTTACCTTCTCAGACATAACCGACCGTTTTTGTAACTCATGTGTGTTTTTAACATAAACTTGTGTGTGAATGAGAACTTAGTTTAGTTCTCACATGCTATG